TGAATAGAGAGAAATACTGATGGTACATGGAGGGGAATGTAATCATTGTTTTGAAACAAGTTGTATCATTTGTTGAATTTAAAACTGATGATCTGCCCTGCAAACTTACACTCAATCCACAATAAAAACTTAAAAGAAAAAATAAAAACAGGCTATGTAAAATTTCTCTCCACTACTCAGCTGTCAGTTGTTGTACTGTAGTAGCTTACTTGTTGCTGTGATGTTGGAGGCTATGACAATGGTATTTAAGTACCAATAGGGTCACTCAACTTGGTGGACTAGTTTTAGTGGAACTTCCAGACTAAGGAAGAGGAGAGGCAGACTACTTCTGAATGGTTCACCACTGACAACCTTATGATTAGTTAGTGATTGTTGTCAGAGTGCCAGAATATGAAAACCTTATGAACAGCATCAGAATATTCTAAGATATAGTGCCAAAAGATGAGTCTCTCAGTTGGAAGGCACTCAAATATGGCTGGAGAAGACCTCTCTCTTCAAAGTAGATTCAACCATAATCAAATGAATGGAGCAAAGTTTTCAGTAACTTCATTTGCTGATGGTGCACAACTTGAAATAAGAAATAATTACAAACATCTATTAAAAATCGGAAAATGGAATGCAGAAGTATGAATCTAAGAAAATTAGAATTTGTCAAAAATGACCTGGAATATATGAAGAGGACATCTTGGGCATCAAATCTATATTGGTGAGCTGAAATGGACTGGTATTGACCATTCTGAAACAGCCGATCATATAGTTTACTATGCCAGGAATGCCAAATTGAAGAGGAATGGCATAGCATTCATCATCAAAAGGAACATTACAGGATATACACTGAAGTAAAATGCTGTCAGTGATAAGATAATATACATACTCCTAGTGTGGCACTGCAGGATCAGCATTGGACTGTGAACCACAAGTTCAAACCCACCAGCTGCTCCTCGAAAACTATGAGTTGCTATTGAGTTGGAACTGACTCTGTGGCACTTAACAAGGAAAAACAGTTTTACTGCTATTATTCAAATTTATGCACCAACCCGTATAATCAGTGATGATGAAATTGAAGATTTCTACCAAGTTCTTCTGTCTGAAATTGATTAAACATTCAATCAAGATGGATTGATCAGTACTGGTCTTTGAAATGTGAAGTTGGAAACAGAGGAAGGATCAATAGCTGGAAAATATGACCTTGGTGATACAAATGATGCTGGAGATCACATGACAGAATTTTGCAAGACTAATGACTTACTCATTGCAAATACCTTTTTAAAGCAACATACAGGCAATTATCCATATAGGCCTCACTACATGGAATACAAAGAAATCAAATTGACTATCTGCGGGAAGAAACAGTGGAGAAGATCGCTATCATCAGCCAAAACAAGATTAGAAGCTGACTATGGACCAGACTATGGACCAGACTATCAACTGCTCATCCCGTCTGCATTATGAGACCATCTTGAGAACAGACTTGATGCACCAGACATTACAGATCGATGATCAGAAGTTTGTGGCATGACATCAAAAGTATCGTACATAAACATTTTTGAAAAAGAAAAAAAAAAGAAGAGAATAAAGGCAAATACTGTTAATCACTGGTGCATGGAGAGGACTGTAATCATGGCTATGAAATCAAATCCGAATGGTTAAGTGCAAAACCGATGTTCTCCCATGTAAACTAGCACTCAACTGACAAGAAAAGCTTTTTGTTTTTTTTTTTTAAAAAAAGACTATCAAACATAAAGAAAGTAAAAGGGCATTAAAATGACAGGAAAGGAAGAAAAGACCAAAATGGATGTCAGAAAAGACTCTGAAACTAGTTCCTAAGCATACAAAAGATAAAGCAACTTGAAATGAGGAAGTAAAAGCTGAACAGCTAGAGAAGAGAGTCAAGTATTACCATGAAATGTGCAAAAATCTGGAGTGAGAAAACCAAAAGGGAAGAACACACTCAGCATTTCTCAAGGTTAAAGAACTGAAGAAAAAAATCAATCCTCAACTTGAAATACTGAAGGATTCCATGGGCAAAATACTGAATGATACAGAGAGCATCAAGAGAAGATGGAAGGAATACACTGAGTCACTGTACCAAAAAGAACTGGTTGATGTTCAATCATTATAAAGGAAGCATATGATCAAGAACCATTGGTACTAAAGGTACTGAAGTTCAAACTGCACTGTAGGCATTGGCAAAAAAACTAGGATCCAGGAACCGACAGGATACAAAATGAAATATTTTAACAGGTTGATGCAGCACTGGATGCCCCCACTTGTCTAAGAAATTTGGAAGACAGCTACCTGGCCACCTTACTGAAAGAGATCCATATTTGTGTTCATTCCAAAGAAAAGTGACCCAATGGAATGTGGAAATCATCAGATAGTAACATTAATACCAGATACAAGTAAAATTTTGCAGAAGATAATTAAAAAACAGTTACAGTAATATATCAACAGGAACTGCCAGAAATTCAAGTTCAATTGAGAACAGGACACAGGATGTGGGCTATCACTGCTGACATCAGACGGATCTTGGATGAAGGCAAAGAATACCAGGAAGATGTTTACTTGTGCTTTATTGACTATGCAAAGGTATTCAACTGTAAAGTTTATAGGAAACTATGAACAACACTGCAAACAATGAGTACTCCAGAACATTTAACTGTGTTCACAAGGAAGCTGAACACAGACCAAGAGGCAGTCATTAAAACAGAAAAAGGAGAAAGTAAATGATTTAAAATCAGGAAAGGTGTGTACCAAGGCTATATCCTTTCACCATACTTTTCAATCTATGTTGTTGTTAAGTGCCATTGAGTCAGTTCCGACCCATAGTGAACCTCTTTAGGGTTTCCGAGGAGCAACTGGTGAGCTTGAACTGCTGACCTTGCAGTTCAACCAGCTTTGCAGTCTGGTGCATTAACCCACAGAGCCACACCAGGACTCCTTCAATCTATA